ACTTAACACTTAAGTTTGAGGAGACTCCTTTCGGCTTTCCCGCCTTCCCAGATTGTTTCCCGCACTCTTCCTTAATATATAGTTGCCAACAATTATTTACTAACCATTCATACAAAAAATCCAATATACGTTACACGATATTTAAAAAAATATATATGAAATAATTGAAATATAAACGTATTTGTTGAGTGTTCTGGAGACTTATCAAAGGACTGTATTAATGAAAGATATTATGTGTAGAGGTAGAATTCGGTAAATGAAACATGGAGACTTTCTCTGGCGTGGGGGCCGTGTTCTCCTGCCCCTCTAACCTGGAGTCCGGAATGTGGCCGTGGGACACACCCTCTCCTCCCTCTGCTTTATATTACGTAAATATTATTATCATCTCTTTGTGTCTCTTTTTCCCTCTTTGACTTTCTCCTTCTATCTGTTATATTTTTCTAGGTGAACGTGGTTTTCACTCACCATCTTCACTCCGGTAAATATAAATGGATATTAATTCAGTAAAATAAGCAAACAAGTTAACATTGTTTCAGTTTGCACAAAGGCAGTTTAGGTGAACAAACAATAAGGAGATTAAACCAATAATAACCCATGACTACCGTTAACGGTTTATTTCCATTGGATGTCCTCTCCATTATTTTTTCTACATTATTCCATCATTCTTTACCTGTTAAATAAGCAAGAGGATATTGAACAGGTTATAAACTTGTAGCAGCAAAAACCTTCCCAGTGTTCAAGGTGAACATGTACCGGCACCGCCCCGCCTTTCTATTGGCTGCCCACCTTGCCATGACGTAAATATTGGATGACGTCACGGAAATCGCACTCTTGTTGGCCGCTAACACATCCATGTAAACACTGAGTGACGTCCAGGGAAACTGGTGTTCTACGGTCTCATTAGCTGCTAATCACTGCCATGAGGTTGTAAATTTTGAGTGACGTCACGAAAACTTGCATCTATCAACCCTCATTATTGGCCGCTCAGACCACCATCGATAATTTGCCGTAAGCTTTGAGGGCAACGACCTTGTTTTGTGAACAGTTGATGATCCGGATGAGTACCTGCAGTCCTTCGGGAGAGCAGTTGAATACACAGACTGCCTTCGATGAAATCTGATTGTCTGTTGGTATACGGGAGTAGTGGCAGATATGGTAACAAGTATACGGGGGTTGAGGGGTGGATCATGGAGGGGAAAGCCAACCAACCATTACAAAGTGACCCAGATCTTTCCTTCACCCAACTTACGTACCCTTCTCACTCCCCTCTAACTTTCTCCTCGTCTCCCTAGTTTAAATCACACCGAGTTCTCCTTCCATCTCTCGCTCACACTTACTCCGCCTCACCTAATTATGTAAATGACACCTTACAAGAGGTAAATACAGTATGTAGATAAATAAATAGAGTTATCTAGTTAAAGACGAAGGCAGTGGGGGGGAGGGGGGAATACAGAGAAAAAAAGAAATGTAGAAAACAATCCGATATATCATTATAACCTGGATTTAACATTAAGGAATATCCTCAATGTAACGCGGATTTAATATTCAGAGGTATTCTTAATTGTATTGGATATTCAGAAACGTCCTCAATATAACCTGGATTTTACTCAGGGAAGTACAACCGGGCAATAATGTGATTTCACTGACTAAAAAATTAAAAAGCTATAATACAGATTTTCTCCACTAATGCCGTCTCCTAACAGGTGTAAACGGAGCAGCTTCGTATGTAGTTATGGTCGAATATATTCCCACATCATCATCTGTTACGAATAATATAGATTAGTGGAGTGATTGATCAGGTGATTGACTAATGAAGTGATTGATCAGGTGATTGACTAATGACGTGATTGATGAAGTGATTGATCTGTGGGGTGATTGATTAGTGAGGTTATTGATCAGTGTAATGTAGTGTAGTATAGTATGGTGGGTGTAGCGTAGTGTGTGGTGGTGAGGGGGGTCCACATCACGACCGCAGAAAGTATCGTAGCCAAACAGGGGAAGGAAGTGAGGGAATAATTTGGTTATGGCCTAAAGGTAGAACTTTCTTCCTACGCCAGATGATGAATGCTCCCCCCCCCCCAGACTTACTCCCTCACCATACCTTATTCGTCTGGGTTACTCTCCCTCCTCACCCACACTCCCTGAGAGAGAGAGAGTTGGTGTGGTGCGACTACCAGGAGGAATGACCTCAGTTTATATTTTCCTTCAGGACATTAATGATTATATAATTGCCGAGGTGATTGTCTACACTTATTTGTCCAACAGGGTAGATGTATCCACTACCTCGTTGGCTTTCATTCTTCACTTGGTTTGATTTATAGATTCACCTGCAGTGTTTACAAATAATGAATCAGCAGTAAATGAGTCAGTGATGTTGGAACTTGCAGCTGTATAGATAGTTAGTCAATGGCGTCGACAGAAGCACTCAACTGTAAGAGACAACTTTGCCTATCGTAATATAACATAGACCTACCTACAGTAATGTGACCTGACATAACACTACATAACCTCACCTTATTTACCTAATGGACACCCAAGCTAGAGGTGGCCAATGGCCATGCCGAAGGAAGGTGGCCTGTATAGGATCCTTCCATTGATCTTCTTTTTTCTAGGGTTGTTTTGAAGCCCACTGTTGCTCTCGAGGCCACGGCGGCTTGAGCCGATACTGTTCCATAAATGTGCTGTACTGTACCACCATCTGTGTGAAGAAGCATTTCCTTATGTTCGTCCTGCATGATATCTTGGCGAACTTAACCTAACAACATGGTAAAACGTGACATAGTATAATATTGTCTTAAGTAACGTAACGTAATCCAACTTAACTCAACTTTAAGCCGTTTATTTAGCCAGAAATTTTACAAGTAGAAATTGCACAATGATACAACTTTAGAAAACTTCAGGACATTTATTTTTTTGAATGAGAGTTGTGAACTCTTGGAACAACTTGCCAGAGAGAGTTGTGACGGCACCGAGTGTGAGCTGTTTCAAGACCAGACTTGACCAACACTGGAGCAGGTACAGATTCATTCAGGAGCCAGTGCATGCCCAGTACTTGCCAACAGTGCGTAACAATGTGACAGACCGCCCGAGAGGCTAGCTGATCATCAGAGGCAAAGATAAAATAAAATAAGAATATATTAGAAGAATAGTTAATAATTTCATAAAGGATATTAGAAATTAGAGAAGCGTGTACTGGTTGAGATTCTGCCCGTTGGTAAACTGTTTTATGACGGGCTTTTACCCGGGGAGTGAACCATGGTAGTACAGCTCATGGTCAAAATATTTTGACCATGGTACAGCCCCCGTACCTAGAGCAAGGTTGTCGTCTTAAGGTTACGGTGGGGTGGATATGGTGGCAAGGGGGCATTGGAGTGGTGGTGTCTGTGGTGAAGAATGAGGCCTATGGAGGTGCGTCAGTTATGTAGGTCGCTGGAGAAAGCTTTTAGCCCGGCGGGCATCCTCCCCCAACCTAGCTAATATCCTTGTGCCCTACCTCTCTACCGTCCTCAGGCACCCCTCCTCACTCTCTCTTCCTCCCTCACCCCTCCTCACTCTCTCTCCCTCCCTCGCTCCTTCCTCCCTCACCCCTCCTCACTCTCCCTCCCTCGCTCCTTCCTCCCTCACCCCTCCTCACTCTCTCTCCCTCCCTCGCTCCTTCCTCCCTCACCCCTCCTCACTCTCCCTCCCTCGCTCCTTCCTCTCCCACTTAATTTGTATACTAAATGACAATGTTCCTGTTAGACTCACAACACATATTCAGGCCTGTAGATCATTACGAGGTAATAAACACATCTCGGGCAAAGGGTTGCCTTAATTTAGGCTTATAAGCATCTCAGAAGGCACTGCTCAATCGAGTGTTCATAACTGGAACCGGCGAATTCCCGCCTCACTAGAGGTCACATCTTAAGGTTGAAGAAGCCACAAGTTCAGAAAACGGCCAGGGCAAACTGAGGGTGAGCTCATTCAAGACCAGACGACCAAAACTGACGCAGGTACAAATACAATCCCAGTACTTGCCAACAGTGTGTAACAGAGACGTGACCGACTGCCCAAGCGGTTTACATGCTAATCAGTAGCTAAGAGGATAAAGGTAATGGCGAAGTCTATCCAGAAAAAATACAATGATTCCCATTCGGTGAGAATTACAGTATCATATAGGGCCTAGGCGGTATCTGAACCCAAATATTATACAAACATATACTATCTACTAAATCTAATCACATACACAGAACTAAGTCACAGACAAAATATTCACGGGTTTAATGAATCACTCAATGAAGGATTGTGATCATACAGCGAAGTTCAGATCTTGTTTGTACAGAATAATTGTATGGCTCCCGAAAAAAAAATATTGTGTTTTTCTTGGGATAAACGTAACAATAAACGTCATAACAAAGTAAAAAAGAACTGACCAGTAATTTGATAGGTGGTGAAATGATAATAAAAAAAAATATTAAGGAAGATGTCTACTCCGTTATCATATACTGTACAGAAGTGCTCATTCTCAAATTCCATCAGCCATGCTATTTGATTCATGATTTATCAATTCTCTGGTAATGGTTGTCTATACGAACATTAGTAGCTAGTATTGAAGTAGTTCCTGTTATACCTATATAATTACGTACAATTTGTAGCTATGGTGTACAAAGTTTTTTCTTGTTATTGTCATATGGACAGCTAATCCAAAAAGTATCGAGACCCCAGACGCTCGAAAGAATATGAAACAACGAATGAAGACCAACCCAATGGATACATTTACGCGTGAGGCCATCGCTCATTTTCTCTTCCACCGGAACCTGGACGTCTCGATACTTTTTGGATTGGCTGTACATGTTAAAACAATATTGCACAAAGTGATTTTCTGTTATTTCCATAATGTATAAGTCGCAATCCTAGTGCATTGTACAGTCATTTTTATTGTGAACTGTAGAAGTTGCAGCCCATGAAAAGTCATGTCCTAACACTCATAAAATAATATTATTGTTCTCTTGTGTGTACAGGTTGCTGCCCTAGTACTGGCGGCGGTGGTGATGGTAGGGACGGTGACGGCAGACTACCCGTCGCCCTCCCATGGACATACTGTCACCCAGAAAGCCTACAAACCCGCCATCGAGTATGCTGGGCCCATCGTCTACTCCGACGAGAAGCCGCCCATCATACACTTCCCACGACCCCCACGACCCACGGTGTGTTCTCTCCCTGGTGCAGTACTACCTCAGATAGTTAGATAAATACCTGACAGCTTTGTCGGTCAATCTTGGTCAAGTTGTCTTACTGCTTACAGTTGTTGTTTACCTGCACTGTCTCGGCACACAGGAAAACAGTATATTCCCACGGCCTACGTTGCCCAGTCTGTCTATATTCATGCTTATCCATTTGTAAACCTGTATGACATTGATAACTTGATATATACCGTTACTTAGACAGACAGACACTGTACATATTCATTAAATTGTCATACAAGTTCACATTAATTCCGAGTGTACTCAGACAGTGCAAGTATATAATGTGCATAGTGAAGGTGTACAAAACCCTAGTGTGATATTAACTAGCTAAGAGAGAGAGAGAGAGAGAGAGAGTTTTGTGTTGAGTGTAACAGAGTATTCCTGTGTTGTGTAGTGCCAGATGTCCGTGTTGATAATGTTTCTGTTGTTCTGGTGGCAGGTTGGTGGGTATGGCAGTAAGGGCTCTGTCAAGTCTCAGCCCGTGAAGTACGTGCCGCTGCCTCACCACGAGCTGCCCGTACTCATCTACCAGTCAGACAGCTCCCCACCAGTCCACGTAGTCCACACGCCCGCACCCGCTATAAAGGGTCACATTAAGGCCCACCCTAAACCCTCATACAGCCCGCCACCCAAGGCTCCACGTCCAAGCTACGGCCCACCCAAGGCTCCTCCTCCTACCTACGGGCCACCCAAGGCTCCTCCTCCTACCTACGGGCCACCCAAAGCTCCTCCTCCAAGCTACGGCCCACCCAAGGCTCCTCCAAGGGGCCCAAGCCCCACCCAAGGCTCCTCCGCTACGGCCCACCCGCTCCTTCTCCAAGCTCTTCTCACCCCAGGCTCCTCTCGCCCACCCAAGGCTCTTCAAGCCCCACCCAAGGCTCCTCCTACCTACGGCCCACCCAAGGCTCCACGTCCAAGCTACAGCCCACCCAAGGCTCCTCCTCCAAGCTACGGCCCACCCAAGGCTCCTCCTCCAAGCTACGGCCCACCCAAGGCACCGAGACCCCAGTATGGGGCACCAGCCAACACAGAACCCATCTACATCAGCGCCCCTCCAGCCCCCAGCCCTGTCCTGGTTCCCGCCCCCCAGCCCCAGTATGCCCTCCCTAATGCTCCCAAGCCCTCTTATGGCTCTCCACCCACGGCCCCTACGGGCAGCTATGGTCCTCCCAAGGCTCCCAGACCTACTTATGGTCCTTCCCCAAAACCTACGCCAACGTATGGCCCTCCACCTAAGAAAGGTTATGGCCCTCCTCCCAAGGCCCATTCCCCATCCCATGGTCATCCCCCTACTAAGGCACCTGTGTACGCCCCCCCACCACCCACCTATGGCCCACCTAAACCTGCACCCACCAAGGGCACGCCCCCCCCTCACATCATCTACGCTGGCCACCCTCCTATCCACGTGTATCAACAGCCCCCTGTCTACCAGGTCACTAAGGCCTCCAAGGGTCAGTATGCCGCTCCCGCCGTCCCCAAGCCCAGCTACGGCCCCCCTCCCAAGGCCCCTGCCCCTACCTACGGGCCTCCCAAGGCTTCTCCACAGGCTCCCAGGCCAAGTTACAGACCACCTCCTAAAGCTCCTGCCCCGTCTTATGGACCTCCAAAGGCGTCATCCCCATCTTATGGACCTCCTCCAAAGGCACCAGCCCCGTCTTATGGACCTCCAAAGGCACCAGCCCCATCTTATGGACCTCCTCCAAAGGCACCAGCCCCATCTTATGGAGCTCCTCCAAAGGCGCCAGCCCCGTCTTATGGACCTCCAAAGGCGTCATCCCCATCTTATGGACCTCCTCCAAAGGCACCAACCCCATCTTATGGACCTCCTTCAAAGGCACCAGCCCCATCTTATGGACCTCCAAAGGCGCCAGCCCCATCTTATGGACCTCCTCCAAAAGCACCAAGACCAAGCTATGGTCCACCTCCAAAGGCACCAAGGCCAAGCTATGGACCTCCTCCAAAGGCACCAAGGCCAAGCTATGGTCCACCTCCAAAGGCTCCAAGACCAAGCTATGGTCCACCTCCAAAGGCTCCAAGACCAAGCTATGGTCCACCTCCAAAGGCTCCAAGACCAAGCTATGGTCCACCTCCAAAGGCTCCAAGACCAAGCTATGGTCCACCTCCAAAGGCATCCAAACCGACATACGGCCCCCCATCAAAGGCGCCAGCACATTCTTATGGTCCACCTCCTTCTTACGGACCACTTAAGGCCACTAAGCCCGAGCCTACCTACCTACCCGCCCCCAAAGCCTTCCACAAGCCCCCCATCATCATCTACCAGGGAGTGCGGCCGCCCGTGCACGTCTACCAGCAGCCCAGTGGCGATCATGCCGCCCCAGCCCAGCCTTCAAGCGGGTACGGGGCGCCCTCCACATCACACGCCCGTGCGCCCTCCACACCACTCGCTTCCTATGGTGCTCCAAAGGGTGAAGACATCATCAACGGCGGTGGCCACGGTGACTCGTACTCTTCTGGCAGCGCCCCCGTCGCTAACATCTCTCCCGTCAATGTTGCAACAACGACCCATGTCAAGGCAGCACCCAACGCTGTTGCAGAGCCACCGCCACTGTTGCCGTCAACTGGAGGGTCGAGCTATGCTGCCCTCAAGAAGAAAGATGTGGATGAAGAGGAGTTAACTGTGGTGGCTGATTGGGAGCCCAAAGTCGGGTACTCAGCCTTCACAGACGCCAAACTCTCCGTCGACGCAAACAACCAAAATACGGCCGAGGAACGTATCGAGACCAACGTGGATGTGAGCGAGGCCAAGGTCTCTGCCACGGTGTCTGTAAGCTCATCTTCGTGAGCGTGTGCGCTACCAACCTCCTCTACACCACACAGTGACGTGCTCAGTGCATACACACACCTGCACAACAACTGCTAGGGTCGTATGTTTACATAACTGCAACTGTACATCAAGAGTGTTCCTGCAGTCTCGAGTTTAATTGTTCACTGTCACTCAGCTGAGTTTTTATGCTTAGTACCTGGCACTCACTAACATCAACTGAGCCATCTGTGTATAGTCTGGTGCTCAACACCCACTGAGCAGTGGTGCTGAGCGGTGTAGTAACCAATATATTTGTGTGCTCAGCCAAGGGCATCATCCTTATTTATGAGAGTGTGTTGTGATGAAAGTGTGCCAGTGTTGTGATTACTGTGTCAATTACTTTATTACAAGGTTAAGTATTACTACTGTGCTCAACACATTACGTTCTCTTAAGTGCATTATCTGATTTTTTGTTAAGTGATAACCTATTTGTTAAATGAAACATTTCTTGTTTAAATTGAAACATCTTCCATTTACGTGAAAACAAATTTACACATAAGTGAAATGCTACGTCAGTAAACTATCTCCAAAGATTTAAGTGAAATATTCCATATTAATTGAAATATTTAATGGGTAAAATATCTAAGTGATATATTTTTTTTTGTGTGAAATATTGTTTGTTTGGAGCGACATATTTGGTCTTGCCGTGAAGTGTCCACGAAGATGTATGTACAAAGGCTCGTGTGAGGGCGTGATGTTATTTATTATTATTATCATGATCACCGGTGAGACCATCATGTTGCCACGGCTTTAGGTCCCATCCCTCACACCAGTATTTATTGTTTGACACACCCGCCCACGCCCACCCTGCCCCCATCCTCACTCACGCCCACTTGTTAACGTACCCACCTTGTCATCTTTAGTGTTGCCCATACACCCTGTCTTACGTCCACCCAACTCGTTACTCACGCCCACACCATTCTTAATTTAATCACGCTCATGCACCCACACACCACCACTTCATCCTAAGGTAATTGTCAGTGTACATCTAGCAACTCATAATGGTCACTACATATTCATCATTATTCAAAACAAAAATCAAAATTTAGATTCAGATAATTTATTTAGAAACATCAGTAGAAGTTTATAAACAAAAAAGTCAAATAGTTTCATACAAACTCAGATGTAAATTACAGGTACGATATAATGATTTCAATATGAAGTTGGAGTTGGTTTAGTGCAGCTGACAAATGCAGCCAGGCCAGTACAGTAATCATGTATGTCCTTCCTAGGCCAGTGGTATGTGCAGCAGCTACACCTACCGTCACCCACACATACATTAGCCTGCGTCAGTACACTGCTGAATGGAGACTTCTCCGGTCCGCCATATATATTTTGAGACACTGTATACACAATTCTCAGTAATAAACTGTAAATCATTATTACACATACACATCACCCACCTATATCCTTGTACTGTATTTCGCAGGCCTAACCTCGCCCACAGTTGACCATGGAAGGTCGTTGTCATGAATTTTATGAGAGAAGCATCAAAGGAGCAGAGTTAGGAGATAACACGAGTGAGGGTGAGGGAAAGATGGAGGGAGGAGCGAGGTGGAACCATATAGTTACTCACCACAATATCTACAGCTGTGGTAGCAAGGACCTTACCTGCCTACCCTGCCCACTGTACCACCGCGCCCCCACCACGACTCCTCAACACACACATACCCCCTCAATCTTATGTGAAATAAAACTGTTTTTATTACAATAATTGTGCCCAGTTACCTTGGGTATTCGTTTGTTATATTTATGAAAATATTACTGAGTAATAAAAAGTGTTAAAGTAATCTTGTTTCAATTGTTCCTTGATATGTCACAGTAAAGGAAAAGTTGTGTTTCCAACAATATGCTTCACTGGTATAAATAAATAAAGGTGTACATTCAATAAAGGCGAGGGTACATGTGGGTAACACATTTCCTGAGAATAGGAAAGGTAGTGCACCACACACAGTAGGTTTCCTCCTGTACTAAACACTGGACAATAAATGTCATAACACAGCAACAAAGTACAGACCCACCGGCTAGTAAGCTTACAAGTGGTGAAATGATAAATTAAAGTTAAAAATATAAGCCTACAAGATATCACTGATCTTTACCCTCTGCCACTGATCGGTTCGTTAATATTGTTGTTATCCACTTTGTGTCTGTATCTTTCTGGCTAAATAAACTGTTTCAATATCAATAATCACAGTACCTGGCATCCTCCCACTGTACCTGGTATCCTGTTACAGTACCTGGCATCCTCCCACTGTACCTGGTATCCTATTACAGTACCTGGCATCCTTCCACTGTACCTGGTATCCTGTTACAGTACCTGGCATCCTTCCACTGTACCTGGTATCCTGTTACAGTACCTGGCATCCTCCCACTGTACCTGGCATCCTTCCACTGTACCTGGTATCCTGTTACAGTACCTGGCATCCTTCCACTGTACCTGGTATCCTGTTACAGTACCTGGCACCCTTCCACTGTACCTGGTATCCTGTTACAGTACCTGGCATCCTTCCACTGTACCTGGTATCCTATTACAGTACCTGGCATCCTTCCACTGTACCTGGTATCCTGTTACAGTACCTGGCATCCTTCCACTGTACCTGGTATCCTGTTACAGTACCTGGCATCCTCCCACTGTACCTGGCATCCTCCCACTGTACCTGGTATCCTGTTACAGTACCTGGCATCCTTCCACTGTGCCTGGTATCCTGTTACAGTACCTGGCATCCTTCCACTGTACCTGGCAATACAATAACAAAATGAAAAAATCAATTTTAATTTGCATATACAGTATACATCACAATTAATTAGTTTTGTAATTTCTCAACAAAGACAATGATTCATCCATCGTGGAAATGGTATGGTGTCTTTGATGTTGCTGATGCCAAGCAAAAACTGTAAAAATCTCTCTAATCCGAAGCCAAAACCCCCTGATGGAGTTCCCCCACCGAGCCTCCGTAGGTCCAGGTACCAGCCCAGTTTGTCCAAGAGTTGACATTGTTGCAGTCGACGATGGAGGAGAGGAACACGATACTCCCTCAGCCCTCCTCCTGCCACTTCTCCTACTTGTGGCAGCAACAGGTCAACAGCCAGAACCTACAATACAAATTATTATTTTTTTTATTGTTTATTGACAAGTGTTCAAATCTCTGCAACATGAACAGTTTAATGACAGTTTATTGTGTCCATCTATTGAATTATTATAATGTTCACAAAAGATTTCCTAAACTACAAAAGTAAAATAAGGTTATACTGATTGAAGAAGACATAGATATAGTACATGTGAATACAGTCTGCATCTGAATATGAAACCTAAGACCCAGATCTATGTTTTACTCTTAATGTTTACAACTTTGTATTAATAAATAACTCTTGTCATGTCTTAGATGCTCAGGGATGTCAGTAAATAATTACTTTCATGATGGATGAAAGTGAACTGAGCACAAGGAGACATGGTAAGAACCCCACTTAACAACATAACCCAGAGTAGGCAATTATCTCCCTTATAAAGCATAATTTCCTTAATGTTTAACTAAAGATTCAGTAAAAAAAAAAATATTATACTTTGGGTATAAATTTTACTCCTGTACTGTATAAAAAATCCCTTGGGTACAGGTCCTAAGCAGTTGTATTATTTAAAACATTTTTTCAGATACAAACCATCTCAGGATCCTCTTCTTGTGAGCACATGTAGAAAGCTTTAGTGACCCGAGGCCAGTCTGACACAAACACAGGTACATCTCCTAAATGTTTAGTTAAAAACAGTTCGTGTTCTTTTCCCAAGTTACTCCCAGGTGAAGGTTTTGTTTGAAAGAGGTGAGAGTGTTGCTGGAGTAGTTTCATGGCTTCGCAGTATGGCAAGCGCACAAATTGTTGATTCAGAGCATTCTTTATCAGTTCCTGCAAACATGAACCTCCAGTATTACTGAACATAATCTGCAATGATGAGTACTTTATCAAAACAGCTTCAACTTACAGGAATTCACATATTTTTTAACAAATAAAAGCACAAGTCATATACCAAGTACTACATATCAACAACATGATAAACTCTGTATATACGTACAGTACTGCTTATTCAAAGTGACCAAAACCAACCTAATGCAAACCAAATGATAGGAAAGAGGAACCATGAAAAAGAAAAGATGCAACAGAGTGACATTAGTGAGGGAAAGTCACCAGTGAAAGTTTTAGGAATGGTAGGATTAGAGATAATTCCCAGGGGGCAGGAGAGACACTTGACTGCCAGAAGCCATTTAGTTTGTTCAATAAGAATATTTGGGTACAGAGCAGGTGATGGGATATCATTGAGTAATGTGTGTCATCTTCTCCTGGGGTGGCTGATGATGATGATGTGGCTAAGGCATTCTCCATCTCTCCACAGAGATTGGCTGGTTATAGGATTCTGTGTTATTCAAGTGTGATGAAATAACCACAACAATATTCCAAATAACCAGGAACTCTGCTGGGTAGTGTGCAGAATTTTAAATGTCCGCAAAGTATTCCCCCATCACTCCAGTCACCACACGAGGATCAGGCACACCGGTGTCATCTACCCGGAGTATGGTTAGTGGTGAAGGAACGAACTTTCTGGTTTGGTGAAGGACCAGTACAGAGGCTGACACTGATGGTCTACAATAGTTGGGTTTAACTGTTAAGGGTTTCTTCTCTGTACTCCTACAAGGCTGTCATCTCACCATCAAAGTTACCCTTTTGGCATTGTGTCTTGCCAAATCAGCTTGGGGATTGGATGAAGTTTGAGGCCGAGATTTTGAACAAATGTTATATTGTAATGATAATAGGGTTTAATTGTATGGTACCTATTTACTTCACTCATTAAGTCCACACACTTACCTCAGTTTTATTATTATTTCTCCAGTATAAGGCAACATCCTCCTGTTGTACATCAATTACTGTCTCCATAGATGTTTTTATAACTCCCTCAATTCTATCCATCAATGAGTGAAGACCTTCTGTACCACTAAGAAATGCTTCTTCAGCTTCCACCATCCAGAACTCTGCCAGATGCCTCCGGGTCTGAGAGTTTTCTGCACGGAATGCTGGGTTAAAGTTGTATACCTTAGACAGCCCACTGTAATGAACAACACTGGTGTGAATCTGGGCCTACAGTTTATTGCCTCATTTCTCCATGGAATAAGAGCTAAATATATAAAAGGATAGAATACATGATAATTTTTACTTGCCAGTCAATAAATAAATAAATTTGATTTATGGCTAATGGAACAGCACGAGAAAAAGTCTCAACATTTATTTCTTGCTGGAACTTTGCATCTTGTGAAGAATAGGAACCCAAGCCTATTTCACCTGATGGTTAAACATTCTAATGCTAAGCTACCCCCCAGGTAGTGTTATAATGTTTAATTATCATGAAAAATTACCTGGGGGCTAATCTTCATGACATCTCCAGCTGTAGCCACTATAATGTTTCTGGTCTTCTCTTCAACCTGTCAATCATTCCTCTATATATTTTTGAGCTTCTTTCCCACGTGTTGTCAACTCAATCATGGCATCTTCAACCTGTCAGTTACTCCTTTATAAACCTCTCAACTAGTTATTCCATGTCAACCACCTTCATTCTGTCAGCATTACCTGGTTAATGTTTTGTCAACAGTCAACAAATCAACCACCACTTCTAGTTACACTCATTACACTTTACACATATTCTACCACACAAAAATTTCCAAGAAATCTTTAACCCTAACCAGCAGCGAATGATTCCTAATCCACCCCTATATGTCCTAAAATGGAATGCAAGCACCATGAAACATCCACTGATGATGGCCACTGTCCCTACACATAACATCCACAGAAGATGGTCACTGTCCCTACACATAACATCCACTGATGATGGCCACTGTCCCTACACATAACTTCCACAGAAGATGACTGCTGTTTAAGGGTTAAAACATTAGAGAGCTCACTGATGGTTCACCTGACCATGGCTTCCAAGTGTAACTGTCCTGATACACTGAGGTACGTCTCCTGACCAAAGTACGGCGAGTCTTGTGTCTTTCCTGGCCCAGTGTTGTCGGGATCCAAACACTGTAAAACAATATAGGAATAAATAAGACTAAGAGGTTAAAGTAATACAAATATGTAAACAGTGTTGAGCTTTGAGATAATGACCAAAGAGGAATATCCGACACATTTTAAACTTATGTAAAATTCTACTTTTATTATCATACGTCACACAAAACATACATCAACATAATATACTACATACACACACAAAAACATATATACTGTACTACACATTGAAAGCACACATAGTTTATACAATACTGAGACAGCTGAGTGTCACGTGTCAGATATTTCTTAACCACCCTGTATAAGCCTCCACTGGCACAAAAATTAAACACTAAAAATCTATTCAGGTAACTTAAAAAATGTATATACTGTATAGTCAAAAGCCTTTAAAATTTAATTGCTCTCTGCTGAACACTTTTCTGTTCAATTTTCTTCAACATTTGGGAGGAACAGACATACAGTACTCTGACACACGAATAGATGGATAGTATGCACCTGTGGTCTATATAGTACAGAGAGGCATAAATGATTCCAAAAGTACAAAGGTAAAGAATAACTGATTGAAATATTTCTTAACTGACTATAGAAAAGTCAGCTGGACATATAGTGAGGTCATCAGTCTTATCCACAGCAATACTCAGTCCACACTCCTTGAACACAAATGTTACACATCTGATACAATATGATCACACATTATACACCTCAGGCTAGCATGACACAAATGAAAAAATATATATATTGTACTGTGTATAAAATAAAATAAAGAGTCCCATGCAAAGCAGGAGAAGACAGGTAAGAATAATTAACCCCAGGGCATACAAACATTACCTGAACTGAAAAGACCTCCCCGCCTCCCTCGCAGTCATTGACCGTTATTATCGGTGTGTCGATGTTGACAAAACCTTCGCTGTTAAAATACTGCTGGATGGCCAGCTTGGTCTGGAATATTAGAACAGTTAATTAACATTCATGATAAAACATACAGTGAAATTTTATGCCAGGTTGTATATTTAACTTAACCCATTGACTGTTATTTTAAGTCTCATCAATATTGCCATCCAGCTGTGAATGAATGCCTGACTTAACAGCTGGGAAAATGCAGGAGGTTGAGTGCATGCTTGCACACCCTCAGACACACACACACACACTCATATTGGGTATAAACAATACTGTACTACTCTGGTCAAAACTGTTTAGTGGGTAAAACTCTTCAAATTCAATACCTGGGATCTGACTCTTAGAAGCGAGCTGAAGGAATTCGTACGAGCTCGGAGGTGAGGAAACTGACGAACGTAGTCTGGCGGGTGAACCTTGCGAGCTTTAAAGGGATATGTTTCCTCGATTGGTTCACCTATTACCTACACCAAGAAAAATACAAGAGTAAAATATATCAATAAAAAAAGTCCGCAGTGTCTGAAAGGTTATAGTAACAGAGGATGTGGAACTGGTGTGGAATATACATAAAGATGAGTTCCAGAATAATGGAAACATTTAAAAATTAGAGTGTGGTGTATCAGGGCATCAGGAAACAGAAGAGGAATGAGAGAGGTTTTAGGAACACCCAAATAATTGTATCAAAATCTTCAGCATGAAAATTAAACATAAGGGGTGGTTATGGTGTTGAGGGTAAATGTTTTGTACTGGGAATAGATGACAAAATAAAGAACTAATGTACAATACGGTTATAACACCCAAAAGACATGTTCTTAACACTATATTATACAGTATTATTCGTTTTTATTCACAAGTTTTGCAAACACTATGCAATTTTACCTCATATTTCAACTTTAAAATTTTATATATTTTTTCTTATGTTTTCCTCTAATCTTGAAAATGCTACTGTGATGCTGCAAAAAGTGCTTGACATCATCAATGATGCAGAATGATGTCTCCCTTATAATCCTGCCTGACATCAACTGAACAGATCACCTGAAGATTAGCCACCCAAGTGTATTTAACTTTAAAATTAACCACCTTAATGCTAACCTAACCAAACTCAACCTAAATTACCCTAACCTAATCTAATACTAGCCTAACCTAACCAAACTAAACATAACCATAGCTAACATAACCAAACTAAACACGATCTACCCTACCCTAACCAAGTGAGATAAGATGGTTGGCTAATCTTCAAGTAATCCAACAGAATAATTAAATTACTCAAGTCTCCTCCAGGTAAGTTAAATGCCGTTACCATACCTGTACGTCGTTGGCCACCAGCTCTACCTCCTGACCCTTGTGTGAGGACAGACTCAGGATCCCCGAGACTGTGACAGATGAGTGGAACCCCAGGGCGGGAGGCTTCTTCTCTGATGGTAACACAACCTGTGACACACACACACACACACGCACTCAACTTAATTGCCTTTTATGTGAACTCTTTATTATAACTGTACATCGTTTCCCTTAACAGTTAAATACCTGTGATTTTATATGAACTATTATTGATAAGTATAATATCTTACGTCAAAATCCACACACACAATACACACTCACCTAATCACACACACACACAAACACACACACACACACACACACATATACACAATCTTCCAGTGAAAAACCTCAATAGGGTTTCAGGTTTAACAATCGACTATTTTCTTTCACTTCACAAGTTAGGTATGATGTCACACAGCAGGTTATTAACTTCATAAACCCAGAAGTATAACTTTCTTGTCGTCTTGCTTACTTGATTTTGTAACTACAATACATAAACTGTATAACGTGCAGTACATTTCTTTATTTTTGCTTTATTTAAAACATAATGTATACGTGAACTTCCTCTTCTCTTTCTGTCAATCATACATTCCTTCTACGATGTATCACAACAAATGGGGTTCTGCTACAGTGTTCCTTTTCCTAAACAAAGTCCCAAGACATCTATTTGGATTGCTTTTGTCACCTCACACACCCTAACATCACCAACTACCCAGGAATGTTGTCACTACCATAGTACATGGAATAATTTTGAGTTAAGGTGCCACCATAGGCCAGATATGAGTCACTTCACAATGGACCAAGACAAACTTGTTATTGGAAATAAGGCATCAGTGGAGGGAGAGCTCAAAATCTTTTGTCAAAATCCCCTAAACTTACTTACCGGTATTAAACAATATTTTTTCTTTACTTATACTGTACAGTTAACACTTGCATACATTGTATGCATATCTGTGTTTCATTTGAAGTAAAATGATAATATATAAAATACTGCTACCACTAGTGTCAGTCAGGTGGTCCAACAATGCTATCTTTCTCAGGATGCTTATGTAAATTTTCCTCATGTTCTGCTTGTTAGTTACAACATCAGCATTACATCTAAAAACTCAAAGCAGAACTTTATTATAAGATGCGGGGCAGCTGGCTGGCCTGGCCTCATTTAACAGACACACACAAGATGGCAAGTTCCTTATGTTAAGTAATATAAACATACAGTGTTTACCGGTGTGATTAGCCATGAAGTGCTCCAGCAGCCAGGGTGAAGTACAATACAGTACTGCCAATACTTTCTGCTAAAGTTTCCTTATGCTGTACACACTTCTGACATGAGACACAACCTTATGAAGCCAAAAGTTGGTGTTGAATTTGGTGGTAGGACGACTGGGGCACGGGACATTTGGGTCACGGGCCACAAGCCCCGGACATTTGGGCCACAAGCTGTGTGTAGGGTACACGTTTGGGCCATGGGATATTATTACACATAATGATGGGGATTTGCACCAAGAAAAATATATACTGTATTTATAAAATACTACCATACTATTTAATAGAAGAGATATGTACATTGAAAAAAAAAGAGAAAAAAAGAGAGAGAGAGAGAGACAGACAGAACTGTACAGTGTTCAAACCAGTAAACTATAACCCACCTTAATACCCCCAGGAACCTTGAGGTCATCACAGCACCAAGAAACATGTCAAGATACAATACAAATGATATTGTTCACCGACTTTAACTCTGATTTCCCCTTGTCAACAGAGATGGTAGGACGATTATCATGTTTAAATAAATTATAGTGAATTTAATCTATTTTGTGTTTCTTATCTTTACTTTGACCCATTCCCCAAACGTCCTAACCACCGTGGCCCAAACACCAGAAGGTCGTGTTCCATGATCCAAATGTCGTGTGGCCCAATCATCCGTCCACTGCCGGATTTGACATAAATTAAGGTCTTAATGTCACATGATGGTTTAAACTACCTACACAAAATTTCCAGTCACTTGAGCAACTCCAGTGACATAAAATTCCTCCTCCCTGTGATGGGCTCAGTCTTAGTTTGTCAGACACACAGCTGTATAGTACAGTGTGTTCTACTCCAGTAATCAATACACAGTACTGTAAACTGTTATTGTCTATGACCATGCTTCCAGCTTAACTCATATTGTTTCACTAAATTTTTAAACATCTTGATGAAATCCACACAAATATAATTGTATATACCTTATGCAAACATACATAATTACTGTATACTGTATTAACTTATAAATACTGCACATACAGACACCACAATAACAGCATGAGCTTCTGACTTTGATGTTGTGAATAAGCGGTTGACATCCAACTGTGATCATGAGCACAACAAATGAGCTGGAACACAGTACTGTACTGTACAGCATATGAAGGTCCTGTCATCATCATCACCGGGTGTTCATACCTGGAGTTTCTGGCAGCAGGATCCATCATCAACATCTAGAAATGTTCTCTCCTTCTGTCGTCTGATGGCCTTCACCCAACCCTGGGACAATATATTAAAAGTTAAATACAGTACAGTACTGTAATAAAATACAGTACATGAACCTGTAATGTAGGTCAACCAAATGGAATCTAGTGAGATGAAAGAATAAAAGTAAAAAGGAAATGAGAATAACAATATCTGAGATAATAATAGACAGCCTAAATTTAAGCCCTGGCAACTCATTAATATAAAAGATGTCCACCAACACAGTGTCTCCAAGATCATCACCAAGAAATGGCTTCTTAGAATTATTGCTGTAAATCTGACCATCTACCTTACTTTTATCATTAGGTTGGGTAAGACTTGTGTTTAATCTTAAGGTGGAATAAGCTAGTGGGGCTAATCTTCATGTGATCTACGAAATGTATATCTCAGTTATGACATGAAACCAACCTAAGATTTCTAACATGAAACAAATGTCAACAGTGGCTGAAGCAAGAAGGAAAATCACTATCAATGGCTTCTTACACAAATGACATTACATGTTCTCTTTTAATTCATCAGTTTCACCACTCATCAGCTTACTAGCCATTTGGGCAGTTGATCTGTTCTTTGTTACTCTGTCATGACCTTCATTGTCTGGTGTTGGTACAGGAGTACCCAGAGAAAACTTGCAATATTTTTAGTGGTGTCAGTATGGATAACACCCTTCTCACTTGTGACCTGGGGACTTGATGTAACTAGTGTTGAGAGGCAAGCTGTACAGTACACTACCACTATCATCCCCTTGGTTGACTTAAAACCTGTTAACTACAATGTCTCACCTTACTAACTTACATTAACTTTTATTGTTTGATGAAGTGGCTTGTCTCTTAATATAGCTGATATTCTACCGCTCCTGCATGAAGAGCTGTAGCATCTTAGGGTCGGCCACAATCCCAGTCGAGTAAACATCATGATATATTTGGGAGTCTGATTTTGAGGCAGTTTAGTCACTTAACCTGAAATATAAATTGTGTACAGTACATGATAAACATCAACTGGAGGAGGGATTCATACTTATTGTATGAAAAATACAGTATAGTACATACAGGAAAATATATTTTATCAGTCTTGTACAGGATCCTTGAAATCCTCTTGAAAACTATTAAATAAGGTTTTATACAAAAAATAATAGATAGGTTTGTACAAGACTAGTGAGTAATGTCTGAGAACAGCAGCTAGCCACCAGAAGAAGTTGTTTGATTTTGTTCATTTTTTTTCCCACAGATGTTCTTATCATTATAGTTAGCAGAGGACACTATTTTAAAAGAGGCAACAGCTTTTTATTTATCTACATATATAAACAATTTATATATATATATATATATATATAAATTTTTTATTTTCCATGATCATACAACAAGGCCTAGGGAAAAAATAATAACAGAAAGAAATTAAAAATCGAGAAGAAAACGGTTATACTGTGTTAATCTACATCACGAAGATGCCGGAAAACCAGCTTTTTAAAGTGACACACATTGTATAAGTATGGAAACACAGAAGAAGGCAGAGCATTCCACAGTTTGGCTGTGTGAGGAAAGAAGGATCTACTATAACGGGTTATTCTAGTGTGACCGACATCCACAGAGAAACGGTGGGCACCGCGGGCAAGACGTGTGTTACAAACCCACGGCCTTGTCGGCGGTACGCAGGATGTCAAATCCACCCAACATTGCCCGTTAAAGTAGTACCTGTAAAAGAGAGAGTGTGAAGCAACATTACGGACGTGAGAGTACACTCGGATAGAGTGGGTCGGTTGTAAACAAAGTGAGCAGGTGAAAGGTGCTCCCATATATGATAATAACAAGAGAATAAAACACATCCAATATCTCTGTTATTTGATATCTACAAGGTAAGTGTCACAGAAGAAGAGTCAGAACTATTAGACTTATAGATTGCAAATGCCAAAATCTCCGAATAAGATGGTTGAACATAACTAAAATAATACCAAAATAAGAACTTTGTTAATATGGTGGGGGTCCAGGGGAAGGAGCCCCCGGTTAGGAAGTTAGGTAAGGTTAAGTAGGTTTCTTTTCTTTGGTTGGTTAGGTTAGGTTAGGTTAGGTTCTGGGAAAAAAATTAACAAAGTCAAACAACTCCTTCTGGTAGTGCTGTTATCAGACACGGCAGAATAGCGTACCTACTTCGTTATTATCTACTTGTTAACGTCAAAACACTGAGCACAGCCGACACCTTACCGGCAACCACAAAGACACTACCACAATTAATCTGACTTATAATGACCATGTCTGTCTCTGTCAATTTAAAGAACTAATACAAAAAGTGTTTAATAAGCTCACCATTGTTTATAATGATGGTTATGGCAACACAGAGTAGTATTAACAGCTATTACAATATTCTTCAAGAGCCTCATCCTGAGCCGTCAACATCATCACAGTTTGTTGCTTCATATAGAGGATTTCTTTTAAATACATTCCTAAATTACCAAATATGGTTTTCATCGTCCTCTTGTATATTCAAATCACTTTTATATTTACAGATGACTTAAAAAAATATTACCAGTATGGACAAATCTATTATAAATGTTATAAGTAATATAGACCCCATAGGAATTAATGTGATGCAATTCATAGAAACATTGAATCAATAATATTTATTTTTTTATAATAATTTAAACATAATATAAAATTCGACAGTATCTCACAATAAAATTCATAAAATGTTAATTAACTATTCGAGTGGACAAACTGTGTCGAGTAAAGTTGATAATGTTTACATCAGTTACATAACATAAACAATTATTATATTTGTTAAGGATTGTTTTAAAGTATTACCATATTTCATTGAATATTTATCTATCTGTCTATCTATCACATGATCAATGAGAAGTTCTATAATGTGAAACTTTTAGAGTGCGTGTGTGTGTGAGTGACAGTGTGTGTGTGATAATTAACAGTTTATTGAAATAAAATATCAGCCATATACTGTTCACAATAGTATAAGTCAACTATCTTTAGTAAGATGATTCATATTACTCTCAATAGTTCATAAAACACGAATAAACTTTGTTCTTGAGTCACCCACTGAAATGTGCATTTTCTCTCGTATGTCATGTTACCCGTTCTCTCCACACCCCCAAACTAGTCAACTGAGGCAATAAAAGTCTTATAATAGGAAAATTGGTCACTAGATTGATAAAGAATAAATAAAAAATAACACAAGTGGTACAAATATAATATATAATGACGGGTGGGGGGATTTGGTTGGTACACAGTTAGGATAAGTGATTAGCGGTCCCTAAAGAGTCACTTGGAAGGTGTCTGGGGGGCATTTGGATTGTCTTTTTGTATTGATAATAACTAAATTATCAAATGGACATATAAAAAGCACTTAAGAAAAATTACTATCAACGGTATTATTCACATTCAACGAAAAGTGCTGAGATTAATTATGAGCAATTAACCTAGAAAATAAAGGGTTTTCGCAAGTACCGCATTTAATGAGTGTAATTAGTACGAGATTCCATGGCTGATTTAGATTTTGAGTTGAGAGTAAAAATGCAGAATTTGTGGTGTGTGTACGTGAGTGTGTTCTTCTATCACCCGCTCTCCTTATATTGACTTCATAGTTTTCACAGATGACGACACAACTTAGTATTCACATTGCACTAACCCTAAAATCAGTTAATTAATATGGAAGCTAAATATTCACTTAGTATACTGTGTATGCAGGTTGAGGATATGAGCAAGTATGTGTGGGTATTTTGTACTCGCCGTCTTATTGCTTTCCTCTCCCTTTCTGTTTGTCTTCCTTCACTCTCCTTTATTATATGTATTCCCCTTGTTTCTGTTCTCCTTTATCTGCCTCCACAAAATGAAGGGAGAAGTATAGGTGATAAGATATTTGGCATCACCTGAAGATTCGTCTCCCAGATTATTTCACCTAATGGATAAACACCCTAACACAACCTTCGGAGATTAGGGTTAAGTTAGATTAGGATAAATTGGACTACAGTACGTTAGATTAGATTACGCTAGGCTAGTTTAGTTTAGGTTACGTTAACGTTAGGGGGTTTAATTATCCATCAGGTGAAATAAACTGGAGGGTTTAATCATCAGACGAGACGATAATTGTTACGAATAAATAAATAAATAAATAAGAGTTAGAAAAGAAAGAGATTTAAACCAGGTAAACCATATGAGTAGAAGGACTTCCCCCGAGTGTCCCAGAGGAGCACTTCAGATCAGTATTCATCAGACACACTGCCTCTGGAACATGTCCGTGTGACGCTACACCGACCAGCTGGATTCTGATGGCCTAAACGAGTATGGACTCCAGATAACTTGACAGATACCTGGACCAACACACTCTCTAACACATATCTGGACCAACACACTCTCTAACACATACCTGGACCAACACACTCTCTAACACATACCTGGACCAACACACTCTCTAACACATACCTGGACCAACACACTCTCTAACACATACCTGGACCAACACACTCTCTAACACATACCTGGACCAACACACTCTCTAACACATACCTGGACCAACACACTCTCTAACACATACCTGGACCAACACACTCTCTAACACATACCTGGACCAACACACTCTCTAACACATACCTGGACCAACACACTCTCTAACACATACCTGGACCAACACACTCTCTAACACATACCTGGACCAACACACTCTCTAACACATACCTGGACCAACACACTCTCTAACACATACCTGGACCAACACACTCTCTAACACATACCAACACACTCTACCCTGGACCAACACACTCTCACATACCAACACACTGGACCAACACACTCTCTAACACATACCTGGACCAACACACTCTCTAACACATACCTGGACCAACACACTCTCTAACACATACCTGGACCAACACACTCTCTAACACATAACCAACACACTGGACCAACACACTCTCTAACACATACCTGGACCAACACACTCTCTAACACATAACCAACACACTCTCTAACACATACCTGGACCAACACACTCTCTAACACATACCTGGACCAACACACTCTAACACATACCTGGACCAACACACTCTCTAACACATACCTGGACCAACACACTCTCTAACACATACCTGGACCAACACACTCTCTAACACATACCTGGACCAACACACTCTCTGCTCCTACCACACATGGACCAACACACTCTCTAACACATACCTGGACCAACACACTCTCTAACACATACCTGGACCAACACACTCTCTAACACATACCTGGACCAACACACTCTCTAACACATACCTGGACCAACACACTCTCTAACACATACCTGGACCAACACACTCTCTAACACATACCTGGACCAACACACTCTCTAACACATACCTGGACCAACACACTCTCTAACACATACCTGGACCAACACACTCTCTAACACATACCTGGACCAACACACTCTCTAACACATACCTGGACCAACACACTCTCTAACACATACCTGGACCAACACACTCTCTAACACATACCTGGACCAACACACTCTCTAACACATACCTGGACCAACACACTCTCTAACACATACCTGGACCAACACACTCTCTAACACATACCTGGACCAACACACTCTCTAACACATACCTGGACCAACACACTCTCTAACACATACCTGGACCAACACACTCTCTAACACATACCTGGACCAACACACTCTCTAACACATACCTGGACCAACACACTCTCTATTTTCTAACCAGATCGTCAAGGATCTTATCTCGCTGGCTTTATCAATGTCCAGATAATTTTGTAAAGAAATGGACCCATAAACTATCATAATGCTGGGTTATTTTTCCCTCGAGTATAACACCTACGTCACAAGTGTATCTCCGGCAGTGTCTCATTATCCAAGATGGGGGACACTTTAGGCTTCAAGGACGACCTGTGTGTTAAAGAGGTTGTACCGACGATCCCCTACTCCGGTCAGGGTTGTCTTATGTTCCTTCCAGTGGTATTAACAACTGGCACATCAACACCAATATGTACTTTCCTCTCTGCTCGGCCGTAGTGGGTGACAAGACCAACCCCGTGACTCTCAGTCCTGGGGAGGATTTAACCCTTTGGTGACGATGATTTAACCCTTTGGTGACGAGGATTTAACCCTTTGAGGATTGTAGTTAAACTATTTTAAAATTACTTTCTAATTAATAATGATATAGTTGATAGTTGTGATAGCAGTAGTAGTAGTAGTGGTGGTGGTGGTGGTAGAGGATACTAGTAGTAGCAATTTAGTGGCAGGAGTAGTATTAGTGGTGGTAGAGGACTGTGGTAGTAGTTTGCGGCCACCTGCACGGGAACACTCGATCATTCCACACACACACACACACAGCCACACATACTCCCTCCCTCCCTCCCTCCCTCCTTCTCTTCCTTCCTTCCTCCCTCCCTCCGTCTCCCATACTCCCTCCCCCCCTCCTTCTCTTCCTTCCTCCCTCCCTCCGTCTCCTATACTCCCTGCCTCCTTCTCACCCACCTTTTCTCTTTCCCTCACTCTCCATCCCTCTCTCTCGCTCTTCACCCCCTATCTTCCTCCCTCCCTCCCGCTCATCTATCTTACCTCCTTCTTTCTCTCCTTTATCCCTCCCGTGTCCTGCAGTTTAATACACCGTCTCCTAACAGCAACACGTAGCCATGACTCCAAGTATTTCTGTCTCTCTCCTACACTACCTCACCAACACCTGACCATCGGCACTCAAGCGTGTACCAGGTGTGTGTGTGTGTGTGTGTGTGTGTGTGTGTGTGTGTGTGAACTAGATGTGTATGCAGTAAGTGTGTGTGCACCAATGGTTTCCCAGATGTGTGCATTAGGTGTGTGTGTGTGTGTGTACCAGATGTGTGCACCAATTGTGTGTTTACCATGTGTGTGTACAATATGTGTGTGTGTGAAATGACCACATTCATCATACCCTCCTGGTGTCGACATAGCATAAAGATGACACACACACAATATAACACACACACAATATAACACACACAATATAACACACACACAATATAACACACACACACACACACACACACACAACATGGCAGCCATTTCCCACTTTTTCTTCCATTTATCAGTTTCCTCTACATTATCTTTCTTTACCTTCAGCATCCCTTCTTTCTTCATCTCCCTTAATTAGGACTAGATACCTTCTGTGACGTCAGCAGCGGTCTGTTCTCTGATTGGTGGTCCACATTTGTTTTTTTGTGACATCACGACCAGTCTGTTCTCTGATTAGTGATTTATGTCATATATTTAGTGACGTCACAAGCAGTCTCAAGCAGTCTGTTCTCTGATTAGTGGTTCAAGTCAGCCTTTTATGACTTCATAACCAGTCTGTTCTCTGATTAGTGATTTATGTCACGTATTTAGTGGCGTTACCTGCAATGTACTCTCCGATTAGTAGTTTATCTTAGCTGTTTCTG